GTGTGTGTGTGTGTGTGTGTAGCCACTTCAGCATGAATTTGATCCCTGCCTGCCTTGGAGGTGATCCACATGGCGCTGGTGGACCTCTCCTGGCCCGTCTACTCCTCCCCTTAGCAGTGTAATTTGACAGTCGCCTATTCTGCTCCCTACTCTGACTCTGGTGAAGCCTCTCACTGCCCTTGCACCTCTAGCCTGCGCCCCAGTTCGGAATGCATAAATAAATAAATCTTTAAAAAAAAAAAGAATTACAGTGTATTAACAGTGAATTTTTTTCTTTATATTTCAGTTGGAAAGACATCTTTGATCACCAGATTCATGTATGACAGTTTTGACAACACCTATCAGGTATTTTGTTTTTACCAGCTTACCTACTGTCTCTGTGTTACAAGTAATATTCAAGACCTTTTAAAATTATTATTTATATTTAGTCATAGGTGTTTAAACACTTTCTGTAATCTTTAAAAAATAGTGCTATATAAATGCAATTTTAATTGCATATAGTCCTCATCTTTCTCATTTGGTTTCTTTTATTTCCTCTTCCAAAATCTATTGAAAGATTATCTGGTACACTATGGGTGCTTTGGTGGTGGGTGTGGTGTAGTAACAGCTCCTTCAAGGGAAGATCCTGTACCTCTAAAACATAAACTATGTAGTAATCTAATGTTACCCTAATTACAAAAAAGGAAAAAGTATCATTAATAGTATCTGAGAAGTAGGAGTGATTATATGTGTCTGTTTTTTGTGTAGGATTGTATGTATCTGATTTTGTGTAGGATTATGTGACATTTTAATCTTCAAGTTAAGAATAAATGATTAATACAATTAGAAAGCAATCACAGATTAATAGAAGGCAATTTGGGAAATTTACAAATAAGTGGAAATTTAATAACCAATGGATTAAAAATGAAATCATGTGGAAAATTAGGAAATACACAGAGACAAAGGAGAATGAAAACACAACCTACCAAAATTTATGAGATAGAGCTATTACAGTACTATAAAGAAAGGGAAAATGCATTAAATCAATACTTTGTTCTACCTTAAGAAATTGGTAAAGAATAATTTTTAAAAATCTAAGTCAAAAGAGGGGAAGAATCCTTTAAAATACACAAATTTGTGGTAAATCCAATAGCTCGGTAGATGATTGCCATTGAAAGGATAGTTTGTTACACTTACAGATCTTAAGAGGGGACATGCCATGTCAAAGAATGGGGCACACGGGGAAACACTGGTGTTCGTCAGGATTTAGGGTGGGATAAGGGGAATGTAGACAAGAACTTTTATTGTAGTTTGTATGGTAGGATGCATGAGGACAGTTTAAGCAAATTTAGGATTGCCTAGATTGACTGTTTCATTAGCTCTGTAGGATAGGGACTGTAATGATTAAGGAAGGGGATTGTGATTCTCAGTGTGGTAGAGAGGTGATTGTCATTGACTGGGTCAATTTGCATACAAGGGCAATTTGACAGACAAATTGTCTCTCTCTAGGCATTGGCTAACTATTGCAGGGATAGATCCTTTAGTGTCTGCAAGGCTCCAAAAGTAGAAATACAGAAAATAAAAGACGTGATTAATTCAGAAGCTAATATATATTAGAGTGGAAGTACAAGAAAGAGGGAAAACTATAGAGAAATTCATTGAAGCCAAAAGTGATTCCTACAAAAAGTCAACAAAATTGACATACCTTTAGTTAGACTTGAAAGAGAAAAATGAGAGAAGATTCAAATTTCTGAAATCATGAGAGAAGAGGGACATTTACTACCCAACATACAGAAACAAAAAGGATTGTAAAGGACTACTATGAACAATTTTATTTCAACAAATTATATAACCTAGGTTAAACAGACATGTCACAAGAAAGATACAAACTCCTGGAACTAACTCAAGAAGAAATAAATTTAAATATACCTTCAATGAAGAGATTACATTAGTAATTATAAACTCTGCACAAAGAAAATCTCAGGACTAGATGGCGTCACCAGTCAGTGCTATGAAACTTTTAAAGAACACCAACACATAGTAAATTTCCAAAAATAGAAGAGGAACGTTTCCTAGGTCAATGTATGATGTCAATGTTTCTGATCTCCAAACCAGACAAATACATCAAAATTTGAAACTGTGATCAACCTCCTTTATGAACAAACAGTCCTCAACAAAATGCCACCAAACTCTTATCTGGCAGGATGTATAGAGGATATACCATCCAGTGGGATTAGTAAATTGGTACCAAGAGTGCAAGGTTGATTGAGCATACAAAAAAACTGTATGAATAGATAAATGACAAAATCATACGACCATTTTAACAGACACAACAAAGTTTTTGACAAAACACAGTTGCCTTCATGATAAAAACACAAAAAGTAGGAACAAAGTTAACTTTGTAAACATGCTAAAGAACATCTATAAGAACCAACACAGTTGACAGCATACCCATTATTGAAAGGCTGAATGCTTTCTCAGTAGACCAGACACAAGACAAGGATCCCTGCCCTTGTGTGTGTGTGTGTGTGTGTTTATTTACATGTAGTCATGTATGAGAAATGTGTGTATATCCATCTTGCATGTCAAAGTTACATATGTATGTATCTTAGTTATAAAACAAAATTATAATTACAATAAGTTAATTTAAGACTAATTATAAAACAAAAATTAAAAGCAAGCTGAAAAGAATTAGTAATCTTAAAAGCCAAGTACTTTCATTAAACCCCTAATAAGCCTTTTATAAATATTTTAACCTTTTGAAATATTTTTGTTAAAAGTAGAAGACCCCTTTAATGTCATTGTGCATTTGATTTACTTTGTAGTTGCTATAAAATTTTCATTTTAGTTTTTTCTTATAAATTTATGTGAATCTGATTAAAAGAAAGGTATCAATAGTTGTTAACTGCCATTAATAACTCCATTGTTTGAAGCCATTCTTGTTTTTGAAACCTTTTGAATAGCTAAAAAATTAAAATCTTATTCTTTTTTAGTTTGCCTCTCATTTAAACTATTTGTTCCAGGAATGGGCTTTATTTGAATACTTGAAAAACTGAAACATTTAGGCATATCTTCTATAGGAATATCGTATAATGAACTTTAGAGTTAAAAAAAAAAACCTTCATTGACATCTTTATTCTACCATTTAATAGTTGAGTAGTTTCAGACACCTGGTACGAATTTTCAATTAGTGAGAATTACAATCTGTGAGGTAATTCATTACGTTATGGAAAAAACTATTGTGATACTGACATTTTACTATTGGTTGTTTTTATTTACTTTATTTGAGCAACTAACTTTTATTTGTCAGTACTCCTTTCCATCTTAATTTTTCAATATTTTAGACGATCATAAATGCTACTATGAAGATTCTGTACTTTTAAGTTATTGGCTATAAATTGAATCCCTTCCTTGGATTCAGTTTATAAAACTGGGAGATAACCTGCTTTTACTGCTTTATTATAAAGGATGCAGAGATACATTGGTCAATATCTGTAAAGGTCCTAATCATATGAACTTATATCTCCATTGCAGTTATTTGAAGGGTGCCTTTTTTTTTAAAATTTATTTATTTATATATATAGAACTGGGGTACAGGCCAGAGGTGCAGGGGTGGTGAGAGGATTCACCAGAGACAGAGTGGGGAGCAGAACAGGTCGACTGATGAAGTACACTGCTAGGGGGAGCAGCAGGCGGGTCAGGAGAGGTCTGCCACACCATGTGGGTCACCTCCAGGGCAGGCAGGGATCGAACTCATGCTGAAGTGGCTTTAGCTTCTTATAGCTGTGCTTTAACCCGCTGCGCCACCAGGGGGAGCATGAAGGGTGCTTTTAACAATAGGCAACTGATATTGCCTTTCTTGTCCATCTAAAGTACAGATCTGCTGTTAAGATAATTTTAACAATATATTCTGAAGTCTAAGTGATTCATTATACTTATGCTTTTTTTTTTTTTTAAAGATTTATTTATTTATTCATACAGAGCTGGGGTACAGGCCAGAGATGGGGAGGGTGAGAGGATTCACCAGAGACAGAGTGGGGAGCAGAACAGGCAGATCGACAAAGTACACTGCTGAGGGGAGCAGCGGGCGGGTCAGGAGAGGTCTGCCACGCCATGTGGTCACCTCCGGGGCAGGCGGGAATCGAACTCATGCGGAAGCGGCTTTAGATTGTCAGTGCTGTGCTTTAACCCGCTGCGCCATCAGGGAGGGCCCTATACTTATGCTTTTAAATTAAAAAATACTAATAGTTTGTAATGCTTATATATAAAAGCTTTCCAAATCCTCACCAGTAATTAACTGTAGCAAAAGTTTCAGAAGTTGTAGGACATTTGTTCATTAAAGTTCAGCCATGTAAATGGTGGATGAACCCAGGTCTGACTTCAAAATCAGACCTTAGAAAATCCTTAGTTTTCAGGGGCCCTCCCTGGTGGCACAGCAAGTTAAAGTGCAGCACTTCCAAGCTGGCCACGGCCAGTTCCATGCAAGTTTAATCCCCATCTGGAAGGTGATCCATATGGCACAGCAGACCTCTCCTGTCTCGCCCCCTGCTCCCCTCAGCAATGTAACTTATCAATCTGCCTGTTCTGCTCCCTGCTTCCTCATCAATCCTCTCCTTGCCCCAGTACTTCTGGCCTGTATACCCCAGTACTGTATACAAAAATATATAAATCTTAAAAAAATAAAGAAAACCCTTAGTTTTCAAACAGGAGAAAAATAAACCTTAATAGGCTGTTTTGTTTGTTTGTTTGTTTGTTTCTGTTTACAGAACTTGGGTACAGGCCAGAGGTGTGGGAGGTGAGAAGATTCACTAGAGACAGACTGGGGAACAGAACAGGGAAATCAACTTAAACACACTGCTGAGGGTAGCAGTGGGCAGGTCAGGTCAGGAGAGGTCTGCCACGCTCTGCGGGTCAGCTCTCCCGCCAGGGAACTGAACTTGTGGTGCAGTGGCTTCAAAGAGCTTCATAGTTCTGTGCTTTAACCTGTTGCACTGCCAGGGAGAGCCCACCTTAATAGACTTTTACTAGACCTTCATTGGTGTTCATAATGTAATATATACAGATGTTGAAATATAAAGTTGTACATCTGAAGCTTAAAAAAACAAAATAAAACAAATGAACACACAAAGCCAAAGCAACATTGAGGTAACATTGGATGATAACATTATAGCTTTTAAGTGTATATTCCTATAATTCAACGTCTGTGTATAGTACATTTGGTGTACAACTGAAGATTTAATTCTATCTTTTACCATACAATTACCTTTCTTACTCAGTTATCCTTCTTTTGCTATATGGTAACCACTCATTTGGTCTTATAGTCTAAAAGTTTTGTTTTGTTTTTTTTTTGGTTGATTCCTTTTTAG